GAATCTCAATCTATCAGTTCCAATACAGCCATTATACACACAAGTTAGTGGGGGATATGGGAGGTCTACCTCTGACTATTACTCAGTAGTAGTGCAACAAGTGAGATATTTAAGCTACAACCCATCAAACTTGCTTCTCTTACTATTAAAGTTGCAAACCCTTTTTTCTCTATTAATAGGTTTTATAGGAAGGAAGAGAAGGAAGATCGATGCTTTTGAGCTGTGGTGTTGGAGGAAAGTGCTGAGAGTGCCTTGGACTGCGAGAAGATCCAACCAGTCCATCCTCCAGGAAATAAAGCCCGACTGCTCACTGGAGGGAAAGATACTAGAGACAAAGTTGAAGTACTTTGGCCACATCATGAGGAGACAGGAAAGCCTAGAGAAGACAATTATGCTGGGGAAAGTGGAAGGCAAAAGGAAGAGGGGCCGACCAAGGGCAAGATGGATGGATGGCATCCTTGAAGTGACTGGACTGACCTTGAGGGAGCTGGGGGTGGTAACGGCCGACAGGGAGCTCTGGCGTGGGCTGGTCCATGAGGTCACGAAGAGTCGGAGACGACTGAACGAGTGAACAACAACAAGGTTTTATAGGAAATTCGAGCCCCCAATGACACAATAGGTTAAACCGCTGAGCTGCTGAACTTGTTGACTGAAAGGTCACAGATTCGAATTCGGGGAGCAGAGTGGGCTCCCACTGTTAGCCCCAGCTTCTCCCAACTTAGCAGTTTGAAAACAAGCAAATGTGAGTAGATCAATAGGTACTGTTCTAGCGCAAAGGTAATGGTGCTCCATGCAGTCATGCCAGCTACATGAACCTTGAAGGTGTCTATGGACAACATCAGCTCTTTGGCTTAGAAATGGAGATGAGCACCAACCCCCAGAGTCAGGCATGACTGGACTTAATGTAAGGGGAAAACCTTTACCTTACCTTAGGAAATTGTTACATAAAACCTGATAAAATTTTAAAGCCAAAGTTATTGCTTCATGCAAAACTGTCCAGGAAGCAAACATGACAAAGTCAGGAATCAAAACTTTACATTTTATTGTTCTATCCAGTTTCCTTTGCTGCGATTCATGGCAATATCCTTGTATGTTGTTTGGGGATCTATTTAAATCACAAACAACACAACTATTTTTAATCCCTGATAATGCAATGAAATTGTTGATTGGGTACACAAAACATTCAAAGGCATTTCTTTGTGGCTGTAAACTGGTCTATGATTTTGTGACATAATTTAATGAAAGACTTTATCTACTGCCCTCCACATTTATTTGTAACCACGAAAAAAAAACAATGCAATAAAGTTTAAAGACAATGGGATGACAAAAAACCCTACTTTTCTCAGATGGCCAAGAAGTTCACAGCCATTGTTCTGATTGAGGTGGGTGTGTGCCTAACAGGCTCACAATATATGCCTTTTCCAGCACACATTCATACAGGAGAATCCTGTTTTGTTCATTTGTCACATTTTTAAGACACACTGAGAATGGCAAGTAGTGACAAAAAGCCATGCAAATGCCATAGCATGATGTCCATCTAAAGATCTTTGTTGAAACCATGAATGATCACAAAGTGAGGATTGGATACTCCTGAATTTTTGAACATAGACTGTTGTTTACACCTTTCAGTGCAATGATCCAAGACATAAGGTTTTGGCAGTTGCAAGGAGGGCTTTTGCACAATTAAAACTTGTGTGCCAGCTACTCCCATATCTTGGGAAGTTATACTTGGCCATGGTAGTGCATGCTCTGATTACACCCCAAATAGACTACTGCAACATGCTTGATGTGGGGTTGCCTTTGAAGACGGTTTGGAAGCTTCAAATGGTCCAGTGGAAAGCAGCCAGGTTGCTTTCCGGATCAGCATGCAGGGAGCATAGAAGCCTCCTGCTATGTCAGCTCCACTGGCTACCAGTCTGCTACCAAGCACAATTCAAAGCATTGGCTTTAGCCTATAAAATCTTAAACTGTTCCAGCCCAGCTTACCTGTCTGAACGTATCTCCTCCTATGAACCACCTTGGAGATTAAGATAATCTGGGGAGGCCCTGCTCTCAATCCCATCTCCTTTGCAAGTGTGACTGGTGGGGATGAGAGACAGGGCCTTCTCAGTGGTGGCCCCTTGGCTCTGGAACTCCCTCCCCAGTGACATTAGATCAGCTCTCTCTCTCTCCTGGCTTCAGAAGGAAAGTAAAAGCCTGGCTTTGGGATCATGCTTTTAGAAATTAACTATAGTATAATAACAGCCATGGAATATGTGTAAAGACCCGGATTACAATTGTGGATGACATGATTTTAATAGTTAATGCAATGTTTGTATATGTTTTAATGTACATTCATTTTAATTTTAAAATTTTAACTTAAATGTATTTTAACTGTATGTTGTACAAAGGCATTGAATAGTTGCCTATATGTAAAGCTGCCTTGAGTGCTTTCAGGGTAGAGAAAGGCAGGATATAAATAGGGTAAATAAATAAATAAGGCAATGCCTGAACAAAGAGTATTTTGAAAACAGGCAAACATTGTATTATTTTTAAAAAGCACATGGATTTGGTTTTAGCATTATTTTTAGAGTATTAGCGGCCTGATCACAAGCTGGGTCTTCACATTTCCTGGATAATTCAACTTCCAGCTGGTTTTCTTCCTTCAGCATATGCTTCTGCAAACTCAGAAGGAATAAAAGAAGGGCTAGTGTTTTGAGCTAAACCCCCTGGCATGCATTTTAATTACAAATGCCTTATTCATTGGGATTTTAGGACTTTATTCCCACATCCCACCCGCTCCAACTTTCTCTGAAGTGTTGTTCTTGAGTCTTCTTTTATGTGCCTCACACAAGGACACACTTCTTATAGGGGGCAAGTGGATTTTTGACAATAGAAGAACAGAGCAAGAAATGTGAGGCTGCAATACATCATGGATCAAATGTGGAGAATTTGTCCTCTGCCCTTGCTGAAAGGATATATACCATATGTGACTTGATTTTATGAAGCAGCTAAAAGATATAGCTGCCCTAAGCAATTAATGGTGTAGTTCATAGATCAGCGTTTCGCAACCTGGGGGTTGGGACACCTGGGGGAAGGGTCGTGAGGAGATTTCAGAGGGGTCACCAAAGACCATCAGAAAACATATATTTCAGATGTTCTTAGGAACCCCTTTGGCAGAGAAAGCTGAAGATCTCTCAATCTGTCCTTTTCCTTTTTGGAAACAGATGGCGAATCCTCCCACCAAAAGCCCTCCTCTGCTGTGATTGGCCAGTCTCTCAGCCAAGAGAAGGGCTGTTTCTGAGACTCCAAGTGGGGAGGGGAGAGCAGGCATGCTCAACACATGGCAGTGTGGTGTGCATGTGTGGGTGAAGGAGAGCGTGTGAGGCTGGAGGGAGGCTCATGCCAGCAAGTCCCTTCAAGGCTTGGGGGTTTTGTGTGGGAAATGTGACCCAATTCTATCATTGGTGGGGTTCAGAATGCTCTTTTATTGTAGGTGAACTATAAATCCCGGCAACGACAACTCTCAAATGTCAAGGTCTATTTTCCCCAAACTCCACCAGTGTTCACATTTGGGCATATTGAGTATTCGTGCCAAATTTGGTCCACAGTGCTCTCTGGGTGTAGGTGAACTACAACTCCAAAACTCAAGGTCAATGCCCACCAAACCCTTTGAGTCCACAGTGCTCTCCTTATTTGAGTCCACAGTGCTCTCTGGATGTCGGTGAACTACCACTCCAAAACTCAAGGTCAATGCCCACCAAACCCTTCCAGTACCTTCTATTGGTCAGGGGAGTTTCTGTATGCCATGTTTGGTTCAATTCCATCTTTGATGGAGTTCAGAATGCTCTTTGATTGTAACTGAACTGTAAATCCAAATGGCAAAATTGATCCTCTCCCCAACCCCACCAAAATTGAAATGTGGGCTTATCAGGTCTTTGTGCCAAATTTGGTCCAGTGATTGAAAATACATCCTGCATATCAGATATTTTTACAATTCATAACATGAAGTAGCAATGAAATTATTTATTTGTTTATTTGCTGTATTTGTATACCGCCTTTCTCAGCCAGTTGGCGACTCATAATAATGTTATGGTTGGGGGTCACCACAACACGAGAAACTATATTAAGGGGTCAGGGCATTAGGAAGATTGAAAAACACTGCTCTTGGTCAGTCCAAAAGTGAAAGGTAATCTTTGTCAAGGAGTTGCAAGCTGCTTTCCTGTTCTCCGAGTCAGGCTTCTGCTCTGCAAAGTGTCTAAACTGAAAGACAAATCTGACAATATGCTAATCTGACAATAAAGAGTGACTTCTGAACCTTTATCTGTTGAGTAGCTGACAGTGAAAGACAGAGACGCTTGTCTAACTAGACAAAACGACAGGGAAAATATGCTTTCAAACAAGAGCATAAATCGTTGGTAGTGCAGAAGAGCCAAGGAAAAGGAACAGCTAGGCTACTAATACTGTGCATTAGCCTCACTTTACCTCTGCTCCTCTATCTCTCCCTTTTTCATATGCATGGACGAGGATGTACCCTTGTCAAAGTAATAACACAGAGGGAGTTGGACTGGTGACAATACCTCTATAGTTTTGAGATCATGTTGGAGGGTGTCGATGTGGGGGGAGAAAAGAAAATCCGAGCCTGGTGTGAATCTAGAGCACAAAAAAAAGTTTGCATATTGCACTGGGCGCTTGCAGATCATAAATCTATGCATGAGAAAGATGTAGTGGAAATTTTGGGGGGGATTAGAGTTTATTTTTGTCATCTCTGTGAGACAGCTACTCATTCATCCAGATCACAGCTAAGAAAAAAAGCTGGTCACAGAAATTAGCAGTTTCAGCTCAGCAGCAAAGTCGCCAGCCTGTGAAGGCAGAGAGAAATTGACTAATTAGCAATGCGCACTAAAACTTGACGGTTCTTTATAGAGAGCGAGAGAGAGAGAGAGAGAGAGAGAGAAGAGAGGAAAGGAAAGAGAGACAGAGAGAGGCAGAAGAGGGGAGGGGGTCGCTTTCTCCCCTTCTTTCTTTCCAAAGATGTTTGAAATCGCAGTCATTTACGCTCGACAATTTTTACAATAGCCTTGAGCCATAATTTTGCGAGTCTCTCCAGCATCCATCCCCCTGTATGGTCTCTCTCCACCGGCCATGCACGACCGTTTCTCTCCCCAACCGTGGATTTCCTATTACTCTCGTTACGACTCACTGAGCCCCAGGCCCAAGGATAATGATGTGTTGTTTCTTGGTAGCATAATTTGTCACACGTACATTTTTTCTTCTTCTTCTCTTGCAGAAAGCTCTCTCTCTCTCTCTCTCTGCGCGCTTTCTCTCTCCCTCTCTCTTTCTTTCTCTCTCTCCCTCTCTACCCTTCTCTCCTTCTTCCCTCGTACATTTTCTGGCTGTTGCTAATTCACGGTGATCAAATGATGTACGACAAAAAATAAATTGTAAAGAGTGACTGCTCGGAGTTGAGAACCGGCAAGGTTCTTCTTCTTCTTCCTCCTCCTCCTCTTCTTTTTTTTGAAGGAGCGATCAAACCCTTTAAAAAGGAAGGACAATTGATTTTTTGGGGGGGAGCTTAAGTGAACCTTTACTTTGGCAGCTGGTTGTGGAGCAGGTAAGTTTCTGGCCTTCGGTCCAACCGGGTGTCTTTTCTTGTGGCTTGTTTATGTTGTGTGTCAGGGAGGGAAGGAAGGAAGGAAAGAAGGAAAGGGGGAGTGTGTGGTCTCTGTGCCGGGGGTGCAGTTGTCGTGGTTGTTGTTGTTGTTGCCACACAGCTCTTTTGGAGAACCCACTCCAATGGCAAGGAATGGTCAGAGGAAGAAGGAAGGAAGGGAGGAAGGGAGGAAGAAAGGAGGGGAGGGCGGAGGGGAGGTGTGGGTAAGGCGGAAGGGGTGGGGGGGTGGGGATGACCGGGTCCACTTAAAGGCGGAGAGGCGCCTGAAGATGCCTCCAAGCCCTGCTCACTACTGGGAGGGAAGTAAAGGGAAGGGAGGAGAGTGGCCCTCCGAAGGGACCCCCAGGCTCCGGGAGACGAGGCGCGAAGCCACAATAAGAGTCGCTGGAGGAGCCAGGGCGGAAGCAGCTTCGGCGAGCTCCCTTACCCCTCGGCCCCGGTCCCAGCGCCGGCTTCTTGCCCTCAGGGAGCCTTCCTGCTTTAACCAATGCACTGCTAGGAGCGCCAAGGCCCCCCTCCCGCCCTCCTCTTCCTCCTCTTCCTCCTCTTCGCCCTTCCTTCCTCCCTCCCTGCCCTCCCAGTTCGCCCGCCTCCCCCTTGAACTTCCCAGAGTTACAGCCAGAGTTGGGGTGCTTGCCTCCCCCCAAACAGAGCCCAGCCGCGCTGACCAGGCGAGAGGCGCCATGCAGCCTCCGCCAGGGATGGCCGAAGTTGGGTGCTTGCTGCACACCAATGCCTGCCTCCAGGATCCAAGGCTCACAGGAGACGAGGGCTTCCCCTTCCCTGCCCCCCTCCCCTCGCTCGTTTCCCCATCTCCTTCCTCCGAGGCAAAGCAGCTACGAGGAGAGAGAGAGGGACCCAGAAAGGAGAGGAGAGGAGGGCGCCCTTCAGCCAGAGGCCTGGACCTGGGCGGGGAAGGGCTCCTCTTCTTCCCGAGTTTCCCTGGGAGTTTATTTTGTTGTTTGGGGCAGCTGGCAAGACAACCACTCCGAATCCCCGGCTTTCTCAGGAGGTTTCCCCTCCTGCGCGGGAGTGCGGGGCCCTGGGCGAAGGTGGAGGACACTGGCTTGAAGTGAAGCGGAGAGAAAGTAGTTGGAAGGGAAGGGGAGGAGGGCGCTCCCAGGTCCGAGGGGCCGAGCCCATGTCTAGGGGCGGCAGAGTGGCCCAGGGGCGCGAGGTGGAGGCGAGGCCTTCCCCGAGGTCTGTGAGCCTGGGCTTTGGCTCGGGTGGAGTGGCCCCTCCGCCAACGCCGCTCTCCCCTCCTTCCTCCCCTCCCCCCCTCCCCCTTCCCGCCTTGCCCCTCTCTTTGCCCAGGTCGGCGAGCGAGGGGGGCTCCCAGGCCGCCATGTCCCGCTCCGGCGACAGGACGTCCACCTTCGACCCCAGCCACAGCGACAACCTCCTGCACGGCCTCAACCTGCTCTGGAGGAAGCAGCTCTTCTGCGACGTGACCCTGACGGCCCAAGGCCAGCAGTTCCACTGCCACAAGGCCGTCCTGGCCTCCTGCTCGCAGTACTTCCGATCGCTCTTCTCCAGCTCGGCCGGCGGGGGCGGCGGAGGGGGGGGGGAGGGGGG